TTTTCTTTTGCCTGTTGTTTGTTGCGTTGTATGGATGTTTCTTGTTTTTCTGCATGACTGTGACTATTTGAGCAGCCACTGTGTCCCACCCTGTTGGACTCCATGGTGTTTTGCCTCAGTGTCTGTCTCTTGTCTCAGCTTTGCCTGTGCCACATCGTGGCCTGCTAAGCAAAATCCTACAAAGAAGCAGCCATTTAAAAGGAGCAGGTGCTTTACATCAAAAGCCCAGCACTCAAAGGAAATAAGAAATTCTCTTTCTAGCTTTCTTTCCATTTGCCATTCTGCTTCCCTGGCTAGAAAAACCTCCATCTGTGTTAGATGAGACATTGCATGATATTTACTCTTAATTGAATGATAATAGCATAGCTGATGTAAGGTTTGTCAAGAAAAATGAAAATGGCAGCCCCTAGCAACATCATCGTTATTAGTGTTGATTTTTATGATTTATATTACTTTATTTGTTAGAGTTCCAAAGGATGGATAAGGAGTATTTTGTTCTAACTGTGGTGAAAATGCATATCAAATGACAGCCTCTGCCCCTGCAAGCCACTGCTCCATATTCCATATCTCTTCACATTAAAGAATAAATTTTATCTCTCAGTATAATTAAAACAAATTTTTAGCAGTAAGGATTTTTTTTGGTTTTTTGAATGTATTTATTCTGAAGCAAGCAAAATCTGATTACAAAGCTCACATACCAGTCATTAGACTCCTGTTAGAAAAGTGCTAAAGAATAATAAGAACAAAAGCACACGTGACTGGTGTCATTCAGTAGTTGAAATTTATTTTTTAAAACAAAGAGACTGGAAAATTGGTCTCCAAACAATATCCGTCTTTGGTCTGTTTCTCTGTTACTGAATAGCATTTATGTTCAAAGCAGCTCAGTTTCAGTCTCCAAATGAGTGTTCACAGATGAAGTTAACACAGCGTTTGAACATCCTAAATATATTTAAGGGTATGGAAACCCTTGAAAGGACTCACACTGAGTATGGAATTCAGTTAGTTTTACAGTGCTTCGACTGATAACCACTTTCAGAAAACAGCTTTAAAGTGTTAATGATAACAGCTTTTTCATGCCATCAGGTCCTACTAAAGTTATTCTGGAATGGAGAAGGCTCAGCGTGATCAGAGCAAATGGACACTTTTCTGTGTCTGCAGCTTTATTTACAAGGTGTTATAATCCTTGAAGGTAGAGAGAAAGCAGATACGCAAAAAGGACCCTTTTCAAAGTGTTAACTTTCTCTTCAGTAGTGCCACCGCTCACATTGTGCACTGTAGCTTTATATCTAGTAGGGAATTCTATTAGAGTGACTAGGAATTCTGTGCAAAACTTCAAGGCTGAATATAAGCCTTTGCATTACCAGTTCAGAAAAACACCTGCTCAGGTTTAAATGCAAAGGTAAAGCTGAAGTCAATAACATGTCAATACCTGTGATGTGCTGTACTGAGCATAGATTTTTTTCTTCTTGAAGTGTGGCCTGAAACTGAAATACTAGATAATTTTAAAAGGGAGTCTTTGGGAGTGCCAGATGAGGAGAGGTAAGAGTTTCACAGTTTGACAAAATAACCTACACAGACCAAAGACAGTGTTTACTGTTGGGTACTTATGATGACCAGCAGTACAAGTGTGATAAGTATAGAAATGAAAGCTGAGCGTGTTATTAAACAGTTTTTAGTGTCAAATGTTGAAAATTTAACCCTTCTGGGGGAGGGGTTGTCTTTAAAATATGCTAAGCAGCATATTCTAAGCAAAAAAGACTAACATGACTTCTTGTTTAGCAAAAAGGGTGGCTGAAATAGTAAATACTTGTTTGCACTATTCAAGGCTGACTGTATGCTGGAAAGTTACAGTCCATAACAGGCAACTAACTGAGCCTTGATTTGATTATTTCTTATTTCATGTTAGTTTAGCAGGGTTTTATATGAGATTTAAAGGAAGAACAGGAATGTCAAAAGATCATTTGTTCTTGAAAAAAAATATACTTTTTTTGCCATTCTGTACTCATTAACAGTGAATTGCAATCTTGTTTTCTTCTAATGATTTACCTTATAATTATTTTTGAGTGATGGGAATATCCGACATTCAGCATAAGCTCTTTGTGATGTCTCATTTCCTCATTCATTATTGTCTGTAAATGGCCATGGTGCTTTAACCAGTGTTATCAGGTGAAGACAGTGCAGGAAGTGAGCAGCCACTCTCACCTGGTGAAAGGCTCCCTCCCATCAGACGCTCTAGTACCAGAGACAAAAACAGAAGAGGGGGAACATGTTTCCTACTGACAACAGGTGATTACACGTGTGCTACTGATGGAGGGATCAGGAAAGGTATGGACTTCTTTCATTAGATCATAAAAGGTTACTCAGCAATGTACTTGTGAAAAGCAAGCTTAGAGTAAAATGTGCACAATGCTCTTAGAGGAAAGACTGTACTCACAATGTAACTTTTTTCTTTATTCCTAGTTATTCTTGTTTTCCTTTTAGAAACACTCATCTCTCTTAGTCTTCAGAAAATGTGCTTGATGTTGGACCCTCATTTCACTTGTGTCTTCATTTGTTTGTTGCCTTTAATGGAAAAGCTTGCAATTCAGACCTTGTTCATCCAGCCACTCATCACTCAATGCCATTTGTCATTCTAAAAGATAAATTAATTATTTAATAACTTTGGTCTACATTTAATGACTTAGTAAAAACCACAGCTAAATAAATTACACTTAAAAGGTTGAAATGTCAGAAGTAAGCAATATTTTTGTTCTGAACACAACAAAGAATATCATATGAGATGGTATTTAGATTTCTTTCAAAGAAAAGTTTGAATTTATTGTGCCACAAAATGCTTCACCTTTGTAGCACACCATTAATTATAAAAGGTGACTGTCTACCCCAACCTGAGTTTAACTACAATAAACATTTTTTGATCTTGCAAGGTGCTAAAAATGCCTTTCTGTTAATTTAGCCTCCTCAAATCTGATTAATCACTAAGGTAGGATTGGTTCCCCAGGCAGAAGTTGCAAAACCTTCTGTCATTATATATATCACGCAGGTGACTGGTGGTGAGTCTATCCCACCAGGCCACAGCTGGCTATGGCTGGAATGCTAAATTCAGGGCATAGACCCTAAATCAGCAATGCCAGTGGTAGTCTTGCCATTTCCTTAGATAAGAATTGCTTTGGTTTCTTGGAAAATCATATCATTCCAACAAGTTTCACATTCCTGAGTGCTGATGTGCAGTCATTCACCCCAGAGTTCATCTGCAGTAGCCATGAGGCACTGGACAAACATTTTTGGCTGAGATTTTTTTGCCTTTTCTTTTTAACTTGCTTTATGTACAGCAAACGTAGCTGTCCCAGATGGCCACAGATGCTAAGGGACTTTTCTTGGGCTACTCTGAAAATGTTTTTTTTAAGTTTCAAAAGCATGAGCTCAGTAGGTTGAACCTGTGAAGGCACATACGCAGCAAGAGTTCTATGTGTATGGTATTTGTAAAGAATATGATTTTTCTTTGTGCTCCTGTGTTTTACATATTCCTATACATAATGTTTAGATTAAATGGGACTTCATTGCAAACATGTTTTTGCACAGATTTAAGATGCTTTCCACTGAGTGTGTATCTCTCACTGTCTTCCCAGGAACTGGGATTATTTCCAATATCTTTAATGGTAAGGGTCCAGTCTTTTGAGGAGATTGGGAATGCCTGAATAAGGCAGATGGCCATGGCATCTTGCAAGATAAGGTTCTTGACTTCTTTTAGAAATGTTAGTATAAACACTTGAGTGCTGTTCACTTGGCAGTAACCATAATTAAAACAGATCAGAAATAATAAAAGAAGTTACGCATTAGCTACAAAAGGTGTATTAATATAACAGTAAAACATATTTTATACTGAGACCACATGAACATTTTCATCTCAAAATCTAGATTCAATAGAAAATTGTTTCATAGTTTTTACTAGAAAAATGGGGTTTGAGTTCAGAACTGAGTTTCTCAGTGATAAATGTGCTCTTTGGCCCTGATGATAACTTTAGTCTAGGCTGAAATTATCTAGCCACTGGCTTTGAAGTGTATATAGAGTAGAGAATTTAGCTCATAAGGAGAAAACATCTTCAAGTAGCATCCAAATGGTTCTGAATATGTGAATTTAATTCACATGTTAAGTCTATTAGTTTTTCAATTTATTTTTTTCCTTTCTTTATGGTACATCCTTCATGTTTGGTTCATTCCTTGGTTGGTCCTTGGTTCTGTTCAATGATCATTTATTCTGAGCTTTTTTGCATTAGCATCCCTAAGGTGATACTGATTCGGAGCTGATCCAAACCCCACTGAAATACCTGGAAAGCACCGATTTTGGATCATGCTTTTACCTCCATTCAGCTTGTGCATCTAGTTTTCATTTTTAAGGAGTTCCTGTTTTCTTTATCATCTTTACTATCCTCCTCTATCAGTTATTTGCTTTTATCATTAGAAAAGTAGTAATAAAAATATTTTAAAAAACATAGTATCCCAGTTTCTGTGAAAAAAGCTACCTGATTATTTTGAAAATTTGTTTGAAAGCTTTATGTTTACAGGGGAAGTTAAATATATTCACTAGCATTGTGCTTCCCTTTTATTCCCCTTTCAAACATGGTTCTTTCTAATCTGTGTAAATACTGATAGAAACTCAGAAACTGGAGGCTGTTTTTGAAATGTATCAGAAGGCTGTGAAGCATCACGGTCTAGCCTGCCCTTGCAATCTGGAGATAACATTGTACTGAGTTTTAGCAGACATGAGTTTATACATTTGCTTTAAGTATAGTTTTACAGTATGCAATTCTCACTAGGTAAGAAATATGTTAATTGTTGTTGGGGGAGAACCTAACAACTGTCTGTTATCTGGAGATCTGGAATTTGAGCCAGTAACTGTTTCAATAAGACAAAAAATATCTGGTGACATCCTGTTAATGTTTACCTATATTGTCACTGACATTTTATAGTTTCTGTGGGAAAAGCCTCAGTATTCCACTGTAAGCAATTTATACCTGAATGTCTTAACCTGACAGATGCGTAGGCGCATACTTGTGCTCAGGGAAATAGGTAGTGCCATTGAAATCAGTGGGTCTTTGCATGCTTGCAATGAAGCATGTAACTGTGCACTGTACAGGAGCGAGGTCTTGTCCGGCTTCATCTTCACTGTGTTTCCTTTCTGATACCTCTCTCCAGACCGATGGGCTGATCCCTTTATTCATAAATGGGATTATTCAGGTGCTATTGAAAATACTTGAGTATGAAGATAGCAAGGCAGTGAATAGCAATGCTTTTCCAACATAACCTCTACATGATGAAAACAATCTATATTTAGCAGAAAAATAGGTAGCTGGAGCTCACAGTGTATGTGAACAGAAATGTCTGCAAGTGCAGTGTTCCCTCCAAATTGTGAAGCATTATGTGGCTGCCTCGATTACTGATTAATTATTTACTATTTGCTTATGTGGATTAATAATGTTTATTTCATTTGAGTCAGCTGGAGAATGAGCACAAATATGGTGTTTTAATTTGCCAATCAGGACAAATTTTCAAATATGTCAAACTCTGCTATCTTATTATACTTTAATATTAGACACAAAGTGTTAGGCTTAATATTTCTGAAGATGAAAATTCTTTCCCATCGTATCATTCAGCCCTCTGCAGAAGTGATTTACAGATACTGTGTGCAATTTTATGTTATTTTGTTTTAATTGTTTTTAAAGTAAAACATCTGTTATTAGGAGTTGGGTTTAGCAGAGATTATACAATTCTAACAGTTTTTATAGTCTATCTTCATGGATTTTTGATTATGCTTAGCCAGACAGCTCGCCCAGTAACCCTGTTGGGATCCTTTATCTTGCACTCTGTGCAACCATGATGAAGCCATCAGAGCGGCACTGAGTGCAAGATGGGATGTGGAAGAGCAGGCCAGACCTCTTGTGTGATGGTCTTTAATTTTCTGGGAAAGAATAACTGCATTAATTTCTAAATAATTTTATTTATTAATATCTTTTGGTAGTAATGTCTCAGCATTGAGTTCTTTTGCAGGTAGATTCCCTCTGAGACCCAGGTAGCTCCTTGGATTACATTACATTGTATTGTTTGTCTTTGTCTATTTTTTTGGCTGAATTCAACTGATGTCTGTGCATTTTCTCATACAAGGCTACGAAAAATCTCGAAGCTTAAACAACATAGCTGGCTTGACAGGCAATGCGCTGCGACTGTCTCCAGTAACATCACCCTACAGCTCACCTTGTCCTCTCAGGCGCTCTCGGTCTCCCATCCCTTCCATCTTGTAAACCAGATGGCATCAATCGGCTACATAGTATTAATTCAATTACTGTTTACCACATATGGAAAATAAATGTAGCATTAACCATAGGCTCCACAAATACGGTATAACTTCTGTATGATATAACTGTCAGTAGTAAGAAATGCCACTTGGGTAGCTGAAGATTTTTATCTTGGCTTCTAAAGATTACCTAAGGTAGCGCTTCTCCTTTTATCTACTATATTGTCCTATATTCCTGTGGCAATAAAAGGACGGAGAGGTAGTGGATGCCGTTGGCCAGTATATTCAATAAATAAGCATATCTTCAGGGAGATTTACTTAAAATAATGTGCTTCCAACTAATTATCAGTCACTCCATTGAACCTCCATTTCTTGTGACTCTAATCCATTCTGAAGATGTCTGGAATCATGTCTTGGTTGCACACAGTGTGACTTAGGTCTGCTCATTTGCATGGACCATCCTGTCTCCATCACCTGACAAGCAGTGTTGCCGGTCTGGAGACCACAGCCGGCTCTGGATGTGTGTTCTCGCATTGTACCATCCTGCTGCAATGAAAGCATTGATAAACTGGTCTGCATGTGGGATTGTTTTTCTTTGTTTAACCTTTTCCTTTATTTTTTTAACTATCTACTTGTTTATAAATGGCTTTATTTTGTGATTAACTTGCTTTGGTACTGGATTGCTGTATCAGAGTTCTGAATGTCTCCGGTTGTTTGTACACAGATAACTGCAAAGAGGTTGTCATTACTGGTTACACGCAAGCAGAAGCCAGATCTCTTTCTTAATGGCTTGGGGAAGGCACAAAACATGCAAGAAAGGTAAACGCCATCCAGACTTGCAATTTTAAGCTAGCAAGTGCTGCTTGGTACTGTAGTAATTTCTCTACTCCAGGGTCCTTCAACATTTTCAGAGGCTGAGTACCAAGTAAAATCAAGAAGATTACTGTGGGCTTTTTTGTAGCACTGTAAGAGGGTAGTAGTTCTCAAGTTGGGTTTTTGACCAGCCTTATACCTCTGGCTCATGAGCTTCAAAAATTTCTTCAATCAGTGTTTTTTGAGGTGCTTTGTCCTATATGTTGTTTGTCTGTCTGTTTTGCAACCTGTCTACTGTTTTCTCCATCTGTCTCCATAAAGCACAGAGATACTGTTAAAATGCCCCTCTCTTTAAAGGCTAACTAAGGACTTTTTTCTCCTTTTCTCTTTTTTTCACATGGACTATACATATGTGTATAGATACAAATATATATATTTTTCAAGTGCAAGTTAGTATCGTCTAGACTAATTCATGTGAACACTCTGAAGATTTTTCAAGTGGGATTTAGTCGTGGATTTACAGTACTGACCGGTTGCCTATTGTATCAATTTTCCTCCTAGCAACCAGCATTCATTACAGTTTTGAAACTGTATCTCCTCTAGTGGCTTTTTCATTCAATATTAACCTCTGCTTATGCAACAGGACAAATGCAATGGCAGATTTTATGTTCTGGGCTGGTGAGGAAAAAGTAACGTAGAGTTTTAGAACTACACAGGGAAGACCATAACAACCTGAATCTTAAGAGATCCTTGAGATTGTTGAATAATCCCTGATGGTCATATTTTATTTTTTGTTAGGAAAAGAAATACAACTTATTGATGACATATTGTAATATGTTCTTCTGTATATAGCCTAGCCCAACAGCATGACCTGCATGTCAGAATTCTTGTACAATAATGTATTTATCAAAGTATACATTTCTGATATTTAGAGATGTACATTGATTTAGTTTTGGTAAAATATTGTCAATAGAGAGATAATTGCAAACAGCTTTTAGCAAAGGAATTAATGTAATATCTGGTGCTGCTGTTATATTAACTACAGTGTTGTACAGAATTTATCATGGATTTTTGACTGCTGAAAAAGGGACAATGGAATTTAGCCATACCAAGGACTGTACTGGAAAGAGACTACTGCTGCTGAATGGGCCCTGATAAACAACTCATGCCTTCAGGAGGTCACTGAGACTTTACATGGGAAGTAGAGCTTGTTAAAGAAGATTAAAGACTGCTCATGATTACTGCTGCCAAATGAAGGGGTGACTAGCCACTGCTGATGAGTCAGCTGTAAATAAAACATGTGTGCATGGAATGTCAGTTTTTATCTCTATCAAGGAAAGCTGAATTCAAGTCATCATTGCTAAGGCTCCATGCAAAGACCCACACCCCTGTGCGTATTCTTCCTGATTGCTGCAGTAAGTTGTGCTGTGGATCATACAAAGACACACACTTAATGATAGTGATGTAAGCTACATCTGTCTTGAATTCTGTCATAATAATGGTATATTTGCAAAGGTCACAAATAGAATCATAGAATGGTTAGGGTTGGAAGGGACCTTAAAGATCATCTAGTTCCAACCCCCCTGCCATGGGCAGGGACACCTTCCACTAGACCAGTGCAAGTCTTTGCTTTCTCAGTTTGCCATGACCTGTATTTGTATGAATTCTAGTGCACATGCAAGTCTTAAGTTTACTTTTCACTTTGATAACAGAAATGTGACTGCAGACAAACATCACTGACTTTATTCACAGCACACAGTCTTCTTTCATTGTTACCTCAAACTATAAGTATTATGAGAAATAAAATTCTGGCAGCAAGACTTTTCTTTTTTTTTTTAATTCAATGTTGCAAACCCAACACGATAAGTATAAAAGTTGTATTAAAACTATATCCTACAAATGTATATTTTACATAAAAGAGATATTCTTTGATCAGTTACTTTCTGTGATTTTTGTGGTAAATGGATCTAGTCTATTCTATGTTTATGAGGCATTGTAGTGGTACGATGTGGTAATTATGTTCTCTCCATCCTATTCAGTGGGAAATTCTCCAAAATCTGTTTTGTCACCCTGGTGTCCCGATTGTAGGGGCCTGTCCCAGTTGTGAAACTCTGTATCGTGGAACTTCTGTGAACATGTCAAGGTGCATGCACAATCCTGGTGAAAACCAGTGGAAATGTAATACCTGAACTGGAGAATAAAAGGCAAAAGACCTGGGGAGGAACTTGGAACATATTTTCTGAAGTGGCTCATGCGCTTTCTTTAGCTCTATTGGTCCCCTGCTGCCACTGCCCATCCCAATTCTGAAAACTAGTTTCCTAGGGTACATGAGGAGCTAATTCAAAGACTAGAATGAGCTGGCTTCTAAAAAATTCTGCATGCCTCATCAACAGTTTTAATTGGGGTAGATATTATCAGACTCAAGGCAGTTTTATTGCATCCTGGTGTGAGGTCAATCTAAAAATGAGGTGATCATAGAATCATAGAATGGTTTCGGTTGGAAGGAACCTTAAAGGTTATCTAATTCCAATCCCCCTGCTGTGGCCAGGGACACCCTCCACTAGACCAGGTTGCTAAAAACCTCATCCAACCTGGCCTTGAAGGCATCCAGGGGTGGGACATCCACAGCTTCTCTGGGCAACCTGTTCCAGTGCCTCACCACCCTCTCTGTGAAGAACTTCTTCCTGATATCTAATCCAAACCTCCCCACTTTCAATTTAAACCCATTACCCTTGTCCTCTCACTACAGGCCCTTGTAAAAAGTCCCCCCCAGCTTCCTTGTAGCCCCTTCAGGTACTGGAAGGTTCTATAACGTCTCCCCGGAGCCTCCTCCCGGCTGAACCAGCCCAGCTGTCTCCGCCTGTCCCCATCTCCAGCCCTCTGAGCATCTTTGGACTCACTCCAACCGGTCGATACACTTCTTACGTTGGTGGACCCAGAGCTGGACACAGTACTCCAGGTGAGGTCTTATGAGAGCAGAGGAGAGGGGGAGAATCAATGATATTTTGTAAAGGGGTTCCTCAGAGTGTGATGTGTTTATGTATCCAAGCCCCAGGGGCCTTCAGCCCTGAAGAAGCAAAACTGTTCTGAAGAAAGGAGTTTTGAGTCAAGTAGTAAGATGCTGTGTAAGTGTGGTTGTTCTGTGGATCAAATACTCCCCAAGGGGCAGTAATGGGAGTTTCTGGGAATGCTTTAAGAGTCCAAAAACTTACTTAATCTTGTATAAGTAAGACTTGAGGGTTAGAAGTCAAAACTAGATAGAGTTAAACAAGCACTGAGTTTGTAATGTAAGCAATGCAGACATTAAGGCAATTTACCAAAATTGTTGCTTGTTCACCTTTTAAACTTGTAAAGTCAAAATGTCAAAACCGAACATCTGTTTGAAAATAAACTAGTGCAACAGGCGGCTTGATGCACACATCAAAATCTGTGACATATTGTGGAGATGTGCAGATTATGGGGCCTTCGGGCTTTGAACACACTTACTGTTCTTATGGGGCCTCATTCAACACTGAGAAAACATTGTGGTTCCACCAAATGCTGAGACACTATTACGAGTGTTATAGGTGTATACTGTAAATTGGTGCCAGAATTGCTAAGAAGCATGCAGCTAATGATAATTAATATCATGCTATATGTCACAGTTGGGCTTTTTTCATGTGTGAAACAATTACTGTTCTTAAAAGTTCTCTTACAAAAGAGACATCTCTGGATAAAATTGAAACTGTTAAGAGAACAGGAAATTTAAGGAAGACTTTGTTCAGATGGGTCACTGAAAACTAGAGGGGGAAGGGACCAGTCCGACATGAGCAAACTTGCAAGCATATTTAATGTGAAGATATGAATTTTAAGAGTCATGAATGAATTAAACTATATGAAAGTGGAGGGCATTTTATCATCAGAATAAATCATGCAGAAGTCAGATAAAGGAAATTGGAATGGAAAACTGCTACTAGAAAGAGAAAATGAATATAGTAATATGCTGTATTATAAGCAGTGGCCTGAATGATTCCATAATAGAGCCTTTGAATACTAACCGAGTGAAAAAGAAATTACAAAAAAGTGCAAAGGTTACTATCAGGTTAAAGTTATCAGAAATACAAATATTTTCATAATACATTATTTTCCCCTTGGAAATACTTGTTAGTTGTTTCATTTCTAAAGGGACAAGTTATTTAACAAATAAAGATTTTTAAAGTTGAGAGTTGGCTCATGACCAAATACTGACACCTTAGTGTTGGGTGTTGAGTACCTAGCTGGTGTGCTGTTACCAGCATTTCGCTCCTACTTAACTCTGTGTCCCTGGGACATGTTGAAATGGCCAAGCTTTCTGATTCCTGGTGCTGGAGGTGCAGGTCTGTCACATGCTGGCTCCATGGGAATTCCCAGGTTGCCCTCCAGCCAGCTGTGATACGTGCAGAGCTCATGGCTCCACAGAACAGCCTGCAGAAACACCCTGAGTCGTGGTCTACATGCAGCTTCTTGTTGCCTTCTGACAAAATATTCATGCTTCCCCCCGCCCTCTGCAACCTCTTCCCCAAAACCCAGCCTTCTGTCACTTTTTTCCTCATAAGCATGTTGATGAACAGCTGACAGATTTCAGATTCATACTTTCACAGCTTCACATTCACAGATGGCAATATTCTATCATATTTTTAAAAAGAAGAAATTGGAGGTGGACACTTTTGGAAAATTTGGCACCAAAATGGTATGCATTTCTTTTAACATCTCCTGTATTATTTGAGGGTGGAAGATGAGATCATTTTAAAACCAGGGCAATGGCTAGGCCATACTGAAACTTCCAGGATGTGTTCTTTTTATATTCTGCATCTGGTTAGATCATTACTGCATTTTACTATCACATGAAGCTCTTATTTTTCTCCCCAAATAGGATTTGGAGATAAGTTGCTAAGGTAAGAAAGAGAGTAGTATTTTAAGTTAAATATTTTCTCCATAGAATGGTTGTGCCTCTATAGGACTGTAAACATGAATTGTAATATGAAGAAAAATAAAATTGCTTGGGAAATACTGGGGTTATAATAGTTGGCTCTAATACATCTTTGTCTTGCTGAATGGTACAGGCACCCATTTTCTAAAACACGTAAAGCAGATGATTTCATGTCGGCCTCTTCAGAGCAGCATTAGACCTGCATAACATAATGAATTACCAAAAGAAAAAAGTGCACGTTGTCCCCCTTGACCATAAGACAGCTTACTTGCAAAAGCAGCAAGATCAGACTTATTGAAGAAACTTGGCCTTTGCAGTGAAACAATGCAAAACTCTGTCAATCTGAAGAATAGTAAACCATACCCACATTATCCTATTAGGCTAATGCTAAATATAGAACGGATTTTCAGTTTCTTACAGGGATTTCCTCCTTGCTTTGTCACTAAATGCAGCACCAGGGTTTTATGAAAAGCTTATTATCTTCATGCATATGAAAGTTGTTGGTACAATGTGGTGTTTGGCACTCTGAGAGTCTTAAAATGATGCCATTGTTTAGTAGTAATTTTTGTATTTTGCTGGCATGAAAAATCAGGTTTCTTCTGAACTGAAACACTGGAAAAGTGGGGCAGAGGGAGTACTGAAGGACACAGTTTTCTTGGAGTTTTTTGGAATCTGCCACACATAACTGGGACCACACAGAAATAAAAATACACAGCTTCCCCTATGTCAGTGCCTTGACATTGAGTGAAGTTTTCCAGTTCTGAAACTCCTCTTCTTAGTCTTTTGTTGGAAATCATGGCAACAAAATTTATTTAGTTGCTGCTGTTTATAGCCTCTACTTAAGACTTGATAAGTTTGCATTAAATCTGTGAATAATGGAGCAATTATAGAGTTTAACAGCACTAGAACTGAGAACTTACGCACAAACTTAATAGGTGCATGTGTAATTAGTGGAGTCTTCTCAGTACAGGACATTATTTGAACAAGCTTCCAGTGTGAAATGGCCTCACTGAAATTAATGGCAAAACTGTCCTTGACTTACTTAAGAGAGACATGGTTTTGGGAAGCAACTGATTTATATCATGGACATTTCCAGCACATTTAGAACCAACATTTTAATACTAAAACATATTTCAGCTGAAAAAATAACAATAAAATAATGCTAATACTACTAATAAGAATAATACTAATAATGTGATTTATCAGAGCGGTCACTGGTTCTGGTTTGAGTACATGTAGCTACAAGGATGTGCAGCCACAGCTTTTATCTGTGCCTGTTCCCCTTCATCCTCCACTGGCTGCCGCAGCTGCAACAGAACAGCCTTCATGAGTGCCTGGGGCTTCACGGTGCAGCTGGGAGGTCCAACCTCCCCCCTCTTCCACCAGTGCAGGTGTGAGGAGTAGAAGGCGATTGTCACCTCTGCACCCAGCTCACGTGCAGGGTGTGCAGCAACACC